AACTTTGAATGTTAATTCTCAGATTTTGCTTCCAATGGGCTTCCAGCTGCAATGCAAGATGCTGGTTGTCACAAAAAAAACCCTACATTGTTTGTTTGATTGATTGAATGAATGCATGCATGCTTGCTTGCTTGCATGCATTTGATTTCTATAGCCACTCATCTCAGTTAATGATTCTGGGCGGCTCACAATTCAAAAAATATATTACAATTAAAAATACTAAAAACATTTTAAATCAATTAAAACACTAAAAAAAATCCAGATTAAATATACATAGGAGCAAAATACTTGGCCAATTAGCAATACAGCCAGAAATGGAGCTCTTAACACATTCAGCACCCCAGGCATGGAAACATAGCCAGGTTTTTAGGGCCTTATGAAAGGCTAATAGCAGGGGTCTTCAAACTTGGCCCTTTTATGACTTGTGGACTTCAACTCCCAGAATTCCTTAGCCAGGCACACTGGCTGAGGAATTCTGGGAGTTGAAGTCTACAAGTCATAAAAGGGCCAAGTTTGAAGACCCCTGCTAATAGGCTTGGGTCCATTCTAATCTCTGAAGAGAAGATGTTCCATTGAGCAGGGACCACTGTGGAAAAAGTTCATATTCTGGTCCCTGCCAGCTGACACTTTTTGGAGGACGAGATCTGTACCTTGCCCATTCTGCTTTCTTGCAAAACTATTCAGCTGTTTCCACTCACCCACCAAGGTTGGCGGCATCCTCTGTGTTCTTTCCGTTAGAAAATGTCTTCTTGTGGGACCAAGGAGCTGTGACTTGTGTGTTGAAGCGTCTGCCCCATGAAACAGTATCTCCTCCCCTCGCCCCAGAAATCTGGAGAGACCTGATCTTCCTGTTGACATTATAGACCTGGATATTTACCCTGGCATTGGGACCAGGAGGTTAAATCAGCCTTGTTGGTGGATTTGCTTGATTGGTTTTTACGTATTAATACTGGATTGTTCAGGCCCAACATATATTACATGTTATAAATATTAATACTGATATAAAGTTCTCTTGGTTGTATTAAGTTTTAATCCTCTGTGCATCATCCTGTAGGGGGGGGTGTCACTGCTGTTGAGATGGGCAGCAGTATAAATTGCTGAAATAAATAAATCTTTCTGCCAAGCAGGTCCTCTGCCACCGATTTGTGTCAGTCCTAGTTGGTCAGAATCATTCATTCTCTTCACCCCATTCAGTAATTTTTTACATTACACCCAGATCGTGTGTATCAATAGATCCTGTTGTCATGCCTTCAGCCAGGAAAAGAATGAAGCTGCCTGAATGGCTTGTTCAAATGAGCGGTTATATAACTGATTCATTTTATCTGTTTGATTTAATTATGCAAGATTTAATTACCGCATATCGGTTCCAGAAATTGGCTGTAGTGATTTCCCTCAGGGCGTTTTATCTTTTTAAACATCTTTGTCATAACTCTGTAAAATAAGATTGGCTGCTTATGCCTCTCCCTCATTATCTGATTATTTTTTTTAATCTTGTCAAAAAATAGGGAATTTTCATCCAGCAGGTACCTGAAGGATTCTGCCTTTCTTGGTGTGCCTCTACTGTCTTGGTGGAACAAAGAGGAGCTTGTGAGCCATTGTTGGAGATCACAATTGTAGGTTTTCATCCGGATCTGGAGTTAGAGGTGATTGTTCAGACAAGGAAGCCTGTTGTATCTTCTTGATGTCATATTTGGCAATCTGAGATAATGAAAAGGAGGCTAACAACAGATGCAAATCAATTAAGATCTGCAAGAAATTCTGGACCGGGTTAACTAATAATTTTGTGTCCCTCCGCTCAAATTGGAAGCTGTAACCTTCTCTTGTATTTCCACCCTCCCTTACTATGTGCAGAGAGTCGTGGGGAGGCTGTGGTGAAAGCAGAATTTGGCAGCATGGTTGGGTTGCCATGGTGTCTCCAGGGATACTACATGGCGAATATAATTAGTTGTGATAGCCTGGTATCCCAGTGTTGTTCCTGTGTTATATTTGTTAAAAGAAGCAGGTACCCACGTGAGGCAGTTGCTAGAGTCTTATCAGAGCACAGCTAGCTTGGGTCTTAAAGCGATTGTGAGTAGGGTAGGATGCCAGGCTGTATAGGGAACAAAGCAAACCTTCTTCAACAAGTTGTATTCTGGAAGGGCAGACTGCTGGGCCCAGTATTCTTGACAAGATTATGTCAATCATGGAGGAAGTTTGAGGAAGGTTTTTTTTACGGAGCATGGGCAGGGCTTGGTTAGATAGTGTCTTCAGTGCCATGAACATGAATCTGGACAAACTCTGAAAGAGTTGAGTTCAGGGGAGCCTGGTATGCTGTGATCCATGGGGTTGTGAAGAGTCGGACACGACTTACCAACTGAACAACAACAACTAAGGGTCACAATTAGTCATGAGGAAAATGTCCCTTGAGTTCTTTCTGAAATTGTTTCTTCCATTGCTGAGAAATAAGAGTCCCTCTGTGTGGGAGGTGGGGGAAGTTCCAAATGTGAAAAGAAAAGAAGGAAGGAAGGAAGGAAAAGAGGGAAGGAGGGAGAGAGAGGGAGAGAGAGAGAGAGAGAGAGAGAGAGAGAAAGAAAGAAAGATAAAATAAAATAAAATAAAATAAAATAAAGTAAAATAAAATAAAATAAAATAAAATAAAATAAAAAAGAAAGTTATTGCCTATTGATTTTCCCAGATTTACTGTTGGAACCAAATCCACCTCAAATCATTGGTTAAAATACTGATTCTGTATCTTAACCTGGCCATCTTCAGTTGTATTGGGCTACTTCGGCTCTCAGTTCTGACATTTACCTAGGGCTGGTGAGAATTGGAGTCTCAAAGTTCTGGAGGATGTTCTTTTCAGATATTGACCTATCAGATCATTTTGGAGGAATGATTGTTGATAATTGGAAACAGTGTTTATGAACAGTTGCTGATTTGGTCATTCTATTTGTATAGCATGACCATGTAATAATGAGAATATCTTATTTCTAGGTTCCCAATTTTAAGAAATGTGAATTATGTCAAAGACTTTAATATGAGATACGGGAAGTCCAGGGAATCTTCCTCAGATCACAGGATGATGGTTGGCCTAAGGAAGAGATTAAGTTTCTCTTTTAATGGTTGTCACATAAAGGTGCAGTTCAAGAAGGAAAGGAAGAGGATAGCATTTCTTTCACAATTATCTAGATTAGGCGTAGGCAACCTTGGCTCTTTTATGACTCGTGGACTTCAACTCCCAGAATTCCTGAGCCAGCCATGCTGAGGGGAAAGGGAGAGGTTTCCAAGCTGAGCCATGCTGGCTCAGGAATTCTGGGAGTTGAAGTCCACGAGTCATAAAAGAGCCAAGGTTGCCTACCCCTGGTTCATTACAGATTTTACCATCTTAAGGTAGCACCAGCCACTGTATTTTCTGAGTAATAAAAATTATATTTCAGTACATCTCCAGTTTGGGGCTAATGATGGGGGTCTGAATCAGAAAAAAAGCAAAGCGACAAGTCAAGAAATTGAAACAATTTTCCTATTGAGGGCTCTAAAATATGAATTGCCTTAATAAAAGCAACATAGATTGAGGGGGGGGCAAGAGCTATTATGCTGCCCTTGAGCAGTTTAGACCAGTGGTTCTCAACCTTTTTAATGCCGTGACCCCCAACCGGTCGTAAGTCGAGGACTAAACCGGTCGTAAGTCGAGGACTAAACCGGTCGTAAGTCAGGGACTACCCAACCGGTCGTAAGTCGAGGACTTTCCCTGCCCGGGAGTGCCGCGCATGCGTGGTTCCGCCCCCTGCGCCGGCCGAGGTGTAGCTGGCAAGCGGCAGAGACGGAACAGGCCGACCACCAGCTGGCCCAGCCCAAGGGAGGTAAGGCACCCGTCGGAAAAGGGGGAAAAAAATGGCGGACAGCCTTGCTTGGCGACCCCCGTGAAATGGTCGATCGACCCCAAATGGGTTCGCGACCCATAGGTTGACAACCGCTGGTTTAGACTAGAAGAAAGGCAAATCATGCTTTATTCTGATAGAAGATAAAATATGGGCTGATGACTGAAGGATTATATTTCTTGACTTCCCCTGCAATGAAATTGCTGCAATGAACTGTGCACCTTGTGCATTAAAAGGCCCGTGTGGGCTTTTAATTATGCAGGTATCCAGGCCAGTGAGAACAAGAAGGTAATATTTAATTCTAGCAATTAGTATTCTAATTCATGCACAGGAGAGATCTCAAGTTTTTCTGCTAGTCATTTATTAATAGAAACTGTCCTTTAAATGCTAGAGAAACATCTGAAGGGGCTTATTCTGATGATCTATAACCTAGCACCTGTAATTCTACATATAGATTTTAATCCCTCCCCCACATAATCTCAAAAAGATCCAGAATTTCATTTCCATCTGAATTCGACACCTCACTAGCCATTTCAATCAATCACAGGCAGATTTTCAACTCCATGGCCATGGTGGCTATGGGGGTTGGTCCAGCCGAGCAGGAAGGCACCAGGATGAGAAAGCTAAATTTTGAGGTCTATAGTGGAAGAATCAGAAGAATGATGGCATGTTGTAGTATCAGCCTATTATAAATATGACAAAAAAAGTGATTATGTAAACTTGCTGCATTGCCTTGCTGTAGCATTGGCCGATAATTGTAAAGGGATAGCTCCTCTTGTCACTTTTCTCTGCTTTGAGTTTCTTCAGTAATTTTGGTGAGGCCATAACTTGCATTAGGCCTAAAAGTCTCTTGAATCTTTCCTTCGTGTATCGTTAATTATTATTTTGTTCAATTTATTTACTTACTTACTTGCTTTCCGATTGATTATTGACTGATTGATTGTACATCCTGCCCTTTGCAAAGACCAACTTCAGAGCAGATAACATCCATAAGAACTTCAGTAAGAATAAAAAGACAGAGAAAAACAGAAAGATGGATCCCAAAATCCTGGCACCGTAAGGTAGAATTACAAGATGCTTTTTTTTTTTTTTAAATTTCCATCACTCGTCCCTTTTACATGCGCCCATTTCTCCTTTTCTTAGATGGAGTGGTTTATGCTTTAGGAGGGATGGGTGCAGACACATCTCCACAAGCCCTCCTGCAACTGTATGAACCAGCTAAGGATCATTGGCAGTCTTTACCATCCATGCCGACACCTTGCTACGGGGCTTCTACTTTCTTGCGTGGGAACAAGATCTACGTGATGGGTAAGGATTCAGCCAACAGGGCCTGGCTGTGGATTAAGTTGGATTACTTAACTGCAAACTCTGGTCACAGAAGCTTCCCAGCCACAGATCTGGTGGAGACATGAGTCTCCTCATTCCAATTAGAGGTGGCCCTTGGCTTACAACAGTTTGTTTAGAGAGACTGTTCAAAGTTACATTGGCACCGGGAAAAATGACTTACAACTGGTCCTCACGCTTATGACGGTCGCAGCATTCCCCACGGTCATGTGATCGAAATTTGGACACATGGCAACTGGCATGTATTTAAGACGATTGCCGTGTCCCAGGGTCATGTGATTGCCCTGTGCAATCTTCCCTGCTGTTTTTCCACAAAATATAACAACAACAACCACAACAACAACAATAATAATAAAAAACTTGGAAGGGACCTTCAAGGTCATCTAGTTCAACCCCCTGCTCAAGCAGGAATCCCTATACCATTTCAGACAAATGGCTGTCCAGTCTCTTCTTAAAAACTTCCAGTGTTGGAGCACTCACAACTTCTGGAGGCATTGAAAGAGGCCAGATTAGCAACCGTGGCAAAAAAAAGGTCATGAAATCACTTAACAACTTACTTAGCCACAGAAATTCTGGTCCCAATTGTAGTCTTAAGTTGACCTGTAGATGTCAAGAGATGCTCAAATGCCATTTTATAAATGCTTATCCAAAGTTTGTTATCCTGAGATAGAAATCCAGCACCCATAATGAGGTCAAGCCTTTATCGAGGCCAATGAAAGAGACACAAAGAAAAATGCAGCCTTTCAAATTCTCCAGAATCCTTCCGGCACAAAATATTATGAACAAACAGGAGAAGGGGAAAAAAAAAAGCTAGACTTTCTTGCTTCTTTCCTATCGTCTGCTTTTTGGAACCTCATGCCTGATGAAAGATTTCTGGAGTACTGACAAGCTTGTAGACATTTTTGTATTATTTTAATTGCAACATTTCTTTCCTTCATGAGCCAACATGGCTATCATTGTTTTTAATAGGTTAATGGGTCATATTATCTTTCAGCAAGGGATCACTATAATGTTTTATACCTGCTTTGTGGCTTAATCTTGGGTCATTCACAGTTCTTTATGGAATGGAAAAGATTTCCATTACAGATGACAGTTTTGGGAAGTGTTCGCATATTCATTAATTGTGGGGTGTGCAGCCAGGCAAATCTGATCGAAAATTAATCAAATCTGATCGAAAACTAATCAAATCTGATCGAAAACTAATCAAATCTGATCGAAAACTAATCAAAGAGAGAAGCAACCTAGAACGAAGGAGAAATTTCCTGAGAGTAAGAACAATTAACCAGTGGAATGGCTTGACTTCAGACGTTGGGTGGGTGCTTCATCACTGGAGGCTTTTAAAAAGAGACCTGTCTGGGTCTCCTGCCCGAGCAGGGAGTTGGACTAGACCAGGGCTTTTCAACCTTTTCATCCATTGTACCACTTTTAGGATATGGCAACATCCGAGTACCACCAGTCGCCTAGCAAGGTGTCAAAAACTTGATGACCCCCCCCCCAAAAAAGGAAAAAAGTGATAAAGTACAGGTAGTCCTCGACTTACAACAGTTCGCTTAGTGACTGTTCGAAGTTACAATGGCACTGAAAAAAGTGCCCCCCCCAAGCCACAGCCGAGCAAGACACCTGCCTGCCCGCCCGGTGGCGCTCTTCCTCCTATCCAAGGTTTTCATTGTGAGCATTTCTGTTGAGGATTGGCAGCGGAGGTGGGGTTTTTATTGGTTTTTATTCCTCCCGTCTGCTGGGTGGTTGCAGCAGGTTTTGGTCACTTCACATGACCCTGGGACACTGTGACCGTCATAAATATGAATCGGTTGCCAAGCATCTGAATGTAAATCACAAGACCCTGGAGATGCTGCAAAATTCCAGCTGATCGGCGCTTCTTCTGGGCTCAGCAGAAGCGCCAGGATCAGTGCTGCTTTCCAGCTGATTGGTGCTTCCTCAGGGCTCAGCAGAAGCACCAGGATCAGCGCCGAGCCCCAGCTGGAGCCTGGCACTCATCCTGGCGCTTCCACTGAGCTCTGACAGTCCCGAAGAAGCGCCGATCAGCTGGAAAGTGGCACTGATCCTGGCGCTTCCGCTGAGCCCTGACAGCCCTGCAGCTCCAGCCATCTCTTGCTCAGGCTTGTGCGGTGCTGCCACCGGTTCAGCTCATTTCCCTCCCCCGCTACTTTTCTAGGATGGTCGCGTACCACCTGCCAGGTGCCAATGTACCACAGGTGGTACCCGTACCACTGGTTGTAAAGCCCTGGACTAGAAGATCTCCAAGGTCCCTTCCAACTCTGTTATTCTGTTTTTGATCCTGGTAAACATTTTGAAGCTGAACTGAGCTTGGTGGCTTTTGTCTTGTTTTCACAAGATCTTAACTTGCTTGCCTCTGGAACCGTGCCCTCTGTTGTATATTTCTTCAGTTTGCTACACTTTGCTATATACTTCATGAGTGACTTGCAGTCATGGTGTCTCCGTTTTCCATAGGAGGAAGACAAGGCAAGCTGCCCGTCACAGCCTTTGAAGCCTTTGATCTGGAAGTGAGAAGCTGGACACGCTACCCCAGTGTGCCCAGTCGGCGTGCCTTTGCCAGCTGTGCCATGGCTGAGGGTTGCTTCTTCAGCCTGGGAGGACTGCAGCAGCCCGGCCCCCATAACTTCTATTCCCGGCCCCACTTTGTCAACACCGTGGAGATGTTTGACTTAGAGGAAGGTAAACTCGAGATGTAGTTGTGCAAGTTAAGTGGAAGAACTGTGAGTCCTAAGATGAGGGTTGTTATGTCTCGTTAATAGGCAGAATAAAGGGATAAGGACTGAGTACAGGTAGTCCTCAACTTACGACCACAGTTGAGCCCAAAATTTCTGTTGCTAAACGAGACAGTTGTTAAGTGAGTTTGCCCCGTTTTATGACCTTCCTTGCCATAGTTGTTAAATCACTGCAGTTGTTAATTTATTAATTTACTAATACAGTTAAGTGAACCCGGCTTCCCCATTGACTGTTTGTCAGAAGGTCGCAAAAGGTGATCACATGAACCTGGGACATTGCAACTGTCACAAATACAGGCCAATTGCCAAGCGTCCAAATTTTGATCACATGACCATGGGGATGCTGCAAAGGTGGTAAGAATGAAAAATGGTCATAAGCCCTCTTTTTTTACTGACGTAACTTCAAACAATCATTAAACCAATAGTTGTAAATCAAGGACTATCTGTAATCCATAGTTTCACACACCCAGATTAGAACAGGCAGTCACCCTCCTGTCAAATTCCATCTTTGAATTCAGGCTTCTTAATAATAATAAATGCCTTTTATGTTGTCTCCAAGTCAAGTTCAGTTCTTGGCGACTTCGTTGATACAATCACGAGATTTTATCGGCAAACCTACAAGTAGCTTACCATTAACCCTGTGATGGTTGTTATTCATTCAGGAAGTAACCAGGTTGACTCAGCCTTCGATCCTTCCGAGGTCGGTAAAATGAGGACCCAGATTGTTGGGTCAAGTTGCTGACTCTGTAAACCGCTTAGGGAGGCACTGTGAAGTGGTATATAAGTCTAAGTGCTAGTGCTGTTGCTAACGAGATTCACTCCTGCTTAGTTTCCAGACTTAGAAAAAGGAGTTCTCGTTGCTTCTATTTGTCAAAGCTAAGTACAGATAGTTTTCCATTTACGACCCCAATTGGGATTGGAATTTTGGTCACTAAGCAATGCAGTCATTAAGCGAGTCATCACACCACCGGCCCCAAATTTACAACCATTTTTACCATGGGCATTAACTGACTTACTGCACTGAATTGAATCACATTGTTGATTAGTGAATCACATGGTTGATAAGTGAATCATGTGACACAAATCTAGCTTCCCTAATCGACTTTCTTTGTCAGAAGATGAGTGGGAAGGTTACAAATCGCAATCCCTTGACCACAGGATGCTGTAACCATCATAAATATGAGCTGGTTGCCAAACACCAGGTAGCAGCCCCATGATTATATGTGTGTGTGTGTGATGGTTGTGACTTCGGAGGTCAGGTCGTAAATCACTTTTTACGAGGCCATTGTAACTTCAAACCATCATTAAATGAATGGTTATAAGTCAAGGAGTACCTATAGCAGGGGTCTTCAAACTTGGCCCTTTTATGACTTGTGGACTTCAACTCCCAGAATTCCTCAGCCAGGCATGCTGGCTGAGGAATTCTGGGAGCTGAAGTCCACAAGTCATAAAAGGGGCCAAGTTTGAAGACCCCTGACCTGTAGTCTTATTATCGTCCTCTCCCTTTAGATGAAGCTAAATTCTTTCTGTCTCCAATTTTCCAATTAGGATCCTGGAGTCGGCTGAGTCGTGCCATCCGTATGAGAGACAAAAGGGCTGACTTCGTAGCTGGCCATCTTGGTGGACGTGTGATAGTAGCTGGTGGCCTTGGTAAGTGTTGCTGATCTTTGAATCCTGGCTCAACATATGAGGTGGCTTCCATTACTCTTCTGAGCTAGGGAATATTTTAGTTCCTTCAAATAAACAAACTCTACCTATCTCACTCAAATACCTCACTCACGTCTTATTTGTCTAAGAGATTCTTACTAATTTTGAAAACCTTGATTTTTTTTTTAAAAAAAACCAGCACTTTGATAGTCGATTGTTTTTCTCTGTCTAATTTTCTATTCTAGCCACAACAATGTCTCTTAATTTTTCTATGCTATTGTGCAGGGAGTGTTAATAACAGCTTAAGCACAGCAAATGATGACTCTGCAGCAAATTGTTTTTTAAAAATGAAAGTGCTATTTTAGTGGCATAATAGAGGCTTTACACTTTGAAGCCCTGTTTTCGCATTTGACGCCTCTATTTCAAGGATCTTGGGGGATTTGCTGGAAAGGCTTTGAAGAACTGGAGCTAGGCTAGGTAAAGAGAACAGAAGATTTCATGAAACAATTGGTGACATTCACAGCTCTTGATTCTGTATTTTTCACATTTGATTTATTGTGGAAGAACTGTTTTTTACTATTTCATCAGTCTATCTTCCCAAAGAAAGAAACTAAGCTGTGACAATGAGCATCTGCTTCTAAAACCTTGCAGCACACTCTATGTTATGTGTTTTATATATTTACCTCCACCACCACTGATTATAATCATCACCACGATGTAAAAAAGATGTTGAGACTCTAGAAAGAGTACAGAGAAGAGCAATAAACATGATTAGGGGGCTGGTGGCTAAAACATATAAGGAACGGTTGCTGGAATTGGGTATGTCTAGTTTAATGAAGAGAAGGACGAGGGGGGACATGATAGCAGTGTTCCAATCTCTCAGGGGCTGCCACAAAGAAGAGGGAGTCAAGCTATTCTCCAAGGCGCCTGAAGGCAGGACAAGAAGCAATGGATGGAAACTAATCAAGGAGAGAAGCAACCTAGAACTAAGGAGAAACTTCCTGACAGTGAGAACAATTAACCAGTGGAACAACCTGCCTCCAGAAGCGGTGAATGCTCCAACACTGGAAGTTTTTAAGAAGAAACTGGACAGCCATTTGTCCGAAATGGTATAGGGTTTCCTGCCTGAGCAGGGGGTTGGACTAGATGACTTCCAAGGTCCCTTCCAACTTTATCATCATCATCATCATCATCATCATCATCATCATCATCATTATTATTATTATTATCAATAATAACAATAATTGTTACCTTACTTGTATAGGAATCCAGTTTGATTCATATATGTGGGAAAGAATATATCCCTTTCCAAGCCTCCTTTAAAATCTCTGAAAATTCCCAATTATTGTGCACATGAAGAACACTGACTCCAGCTAGGCAGAAAGATAAAATCAGCTACAGTTTCCAACTGAGCATATTTATCAAGGAATTATGCAGAAGGTATTTGGGAACGTTGCTTCTAAAAATAAAGACTTGGCTGAAATTGAACAGGAGCCAAATCATTTAACAGTTGAGATGTCTTGGGATAGCTGTAGCCCAAGTTTGTTGTACATATCATCCTTCTAGTTGAGCTTCTATAGACTTACGTCAGAGAAATCCAGCTAAAAGGATCATTATCTTATCAAAGGAGCTTGCAGAGGGAAAACCCTTGGACTGCACAGTGTAGCAAATCCATAATCTTGACTCTTAGTTAATTCCTTGGACAAACAGCAATAGCACTTAGCAATAGCACTTAGACTTATATACCACTCCATAGTGCTTTACAGCACTCTCTGGGTGGTTTACAATATCAGCATATTGCCCCCAACTATCTGGTGGTTCTCATTTTACCAACCTCGGAAGGATGGAAGGCTGAATCAACCGTGAGCTGGTCAAGATCAAACACCTGGCTGTGGGCAGAATTAGCTTGCAATACTTCATTTTAACCACTGTGCCACCATGGCAGTATTGCAGGCTAATTCTGCCCACATTTCACCAATTCTGCCCACCATTTCACCACGGAGAAATGAAGATTTTTTTTAAGCAAATGTATTTCAATAGGAATGGTTAGATAATGCCCTAAGAGCAAAATTCAGACTAACTGATCAATACTGGAATAATGTAGGGCAGTGGTGGCGAACCTATGGCACGCATGCCAGAGGCGGCACGCAGAGCCCTCTCGATGGGCACGCGCACCATCACCCCAGCCCCGTCTCCCCCCGCGGTCCCCTCCACACCAGCAGCCCCCCAGAGGAGAGTCGCCCCCGGCGCGGCCTGTGCGGAGCAGCGCAGCCAAGGACATGGCAGCTGGGCAGCAGGAACAAGACTCCACCCTCACGCCCCGTCGTGCACAGATGATGCTGCATGGCACGGGTAGAGGGTGTGGCTGCCATGGTGCTGCAGGGCCTCCTAGGCAATCTGCTGTGGTGGGCTGTGGAGGTGGTAGGTGGCCCTGTGGGCAGGTGGGGGGCGGGGAT